TAAATGAAAGATAACAACCGGAAGGGGGCGAAATCAAATAAAATGCTCTCCCTAAGGACTGGAAGAATGTTCCCATGCCATCTGCTCTTGCCGGGCCCGGGGCTTACAGAAACGGCTGGGAGTCTCGGGGCTCTCAGAACCCGGCCCTCTTGGCAGTGGCATCCTGCCCAGGGGACTTGCAGGACATGTTTGCAATTTGTTTTTATTTTTAGACACATCTGCAAATGCAGTTTGAAAAATACTAGTCCTCACAAAAACCAGGGCAATTCCCACTGCCACCCAGAGTCTTCTAAAGCTGTAATTGCTGCCGCCTTCCTCACTCAGAGTACAACCGCATCTCCCTGAAAAGCTCAGGGGTACAACCTCGGCCCTGCCTGCTTGCGATTTGGGGTCTTACCCTTCAGACACTGTCTTGTGTGAATGTGACTAAATGTGAGGTCTTCCTCAGCCAAGCCATTACTAGTAAGCCCTTCATGAGGCCAAGAAGGGCCACCTCCTTCGACATCGATAATAAGAGGTGCCAGACTTCTGACTTTAACCTTGGCACCCAGAAGCTGGGGCTCAAGGAGGAAAAGAGGGCCCGCACGTCCCAGCAGTCACCCATGTGACTGACTGGACAATGGTGACTAATTTTCCTAGGAGGCCTAAGCTGAGTTTCCTCTGTACTTCCCACTTTTTCAAGTGCATTGTCTTGTGACCACGAGCTAATTAGAGTTGGGGCACAGTCATTTGTAAATACCTCCCTCCCCCAAGCCTCTATCTTCCCATTCACCGGCTCCATGCTCAAACCAACAGCCCCTTGCATACAAGAAAGACCAGGGGCCCTTGGCACGGGACTCCCGATTTTGAGGTTGTGAGTTTATGCCCCACACTGGGTGTAGAGGTTACTTAAAGAAATAACTAAATGCACACTAGTGCAGCCACTCTGGAAAAGTGTGGAGGTTCCTCACAAAATTAAAAATAGAACTACCCTATGACCCAGCAATAGCCATAGTAGGAATTTTTCCAAAGGATACAAGAGTGTTGATTCATAGGGGTACATGTACCCCAATGTTTATAGCAGTGCTATCAACTGATGAATGGATAAAGAAGATATGGCGTACGTACACGTGTATACACACACACACACACACCGGACTACTACTCAGCAATGAAAAAGAAATCTTACCATTTGCAACAACATGGATGGAACTGGAGGGCATTACGTTAAGTGAAATAAGTTGGTCAGAAAAAGACAGATACCCTGTACTTTCACTCATATGTGAAATTTGAGAAACTTAACAGAAAGCCATAGGGAAAGGGAAAGAAAAATAAGTTACAAACACAGAGAGAGGCAAATCATAAGAGACTCTTAAATACAGAGAACAAATTGAGGGTTAATGGGGCGGGGAAAATTGGAGATGGGTATTGAGGGAGGCACTTGTAGGGATGAGCACTGGGTGTTGTATGTAAATAATGAATCGCGGGAATCTACTCCCGAAGCCAAGCCTACACTGTATACGCTGTATGTTAACTGGACAATAAATTATTTTTAAAAATTAAAAAATAAAAACTAAAAAAATAGAAATAAAAACTTAAGAAAAAAAAAAAAAGACCAAGAAGTAATTTATTCAAATTGAGCAGGGGCGCCTGGGTGGCTCAGTCGGTTAAGCGTCTGACTTCGACTCAGGTCATGATCTCACGTGGGTTCGAGCCCCGCGTTGGGCTCTGTGCTGACAGCTAGCTCAGAGCCTGGAGCCTGTTTCAGATTCTGTGTCTCCCTCTCTCTCTGACCCTCCCCTGTTAATGCTCTCTCTCTCTCTTTCAGAAATAAATAAAAAACATTAAAAAATTTAAAAATAAACTGAGCAATCAATGTCTTTATAGATCCCGATGCAACTGTGTTTCACTGGCCCCTGAGAATTGAAAATGAGGTGAGAGAAGGGGCAACACTGGGAGACAACATTGGTAGAGAACTGACTGACTTTTAATACACGTGTTTCAAGTTGGATTGAAAATGAAGGGTGAGCTGCTGAGAAAAACTCAGCTCTAAAACAATAGTTTGTAAAAGCTCTGATCATTCAGTGACTAACGTGCCAGGCATGTACCACCCTCCAAGTGAAATAGCACCTCTCTGGTTTGAAACACTGAAGGCCTGATGCCAGAATGGAGCACTCGCAGCTTGGCATTTGCCCGTCATGTGTGGCAGCTAAGTTCCAGAAACCACAAGTGCTCTGAGCTGAAATAATGTTGCAAGAGATACTGGAGCATCAGAAGGGGGAGAAGAGCGACTGTCCCTCCAATCTGGAAGAGGAAAGAAATAGCAAGAGGGAGGTGATACTCACAAAGTACATAAAATACCCAGTTTGGGTGTGTGTGTGTGTGAGAGAGAGAGACTTTAAAATTTTGTTTTATTTTCATGTTTATTTATTTTTGAGGGAGAGAGAGAGAGCAAGCAGGAGAGGGGCAGAGAAAGAGGGAGAAAGAGGATCCCAAGAGGGCTCAGTGCTGAGAACACAGAGTCCGGGTGCTTGAACTCATGAACCTTGAGGTCATGACCTGAGCTGAAGTCAGACGCTTAACCAACTGAGCCACCCAGGTGGCCCTTTAAATTTTATTTAAAAAAAAAAACCATGAAAAAAAAACCTGTCATACAGTAAGATTTACTCCGGGTGGGGGGAGGGTGTACAGTTCTGTGAAAGCGAACACACATACATATACATCCCTGTAACCACCAGCAAGGGGCAGTCACAGAAAAGTTTCATGAACCAGAAGATTAATTAATTCTACAAATAAAATCCCCCAAACTTACCTGAGCTAATAAGGGACACAATGAATAAAAAGGGTGGCAACCATAATTCACCACCTGTTATCACAGTTAGGTGCCAGGAAAAAAGAAAATGCTAAACCCCAACCTCCCATACACTAGCACCAAGTTATTTTTGCTGGTTGGCTACCAACCTCACATGTTTCTACAGGACAAAATTTGAGGTATTTAAAAGACACATCCCCAGAGTTTTCATCATGGTGTCAATTCAATTCATAAAAGCTTATTGTTTACTTTTTCACTGCTTGAGGCGCTTTTCAGTCAGCTCTAAAAAGTGACAAGTGGGACATTCTTCAGATTAAATTTTCACCTAATTGAACCTCTCGGGATTGATTCTATTTCTTAATTATTATACATTCTGCAATTCCTTTGCTCATGTAAGGCATGTTTAGGAACCTAGAAGTGACCAAAAGGGATAGTATTAATGAATGTGGCAATGTGGGACCCTGAATAGGTTATTGGGATGATTACCTTGTGTACTAGGTCATAAGTGGTCTCTCTTTGCTCTAACTACTGCTTTGGGGGAGGGGGGGGAGGGACATAGAACTTGTTTGTTAAATTACTTCAGCAAAGGGATGGGTGTCTCTAGTAAAACTCACATTCAGTGGTGGAGAGTCTAGGTGACAGATTAATTAAAGGCCCTAGATTTATCCGTGAACTTCATTTAAAGGGCCACACAGACACGAGCTAACTCACTAGTAGAAACAGGCTGCACTTAACCCCACCTTTCTTCTGGAACCCAAGAGGCTCTCCATTCATTTAGCAAAGATTTATTGAGCACCTACTAAGTTATCCGGCACTAGGTTGGTGGCTGGAAAAAAAAAATCTGAAGATACAAGATCTTGCACACATCGCAGTAGGAGGGGCAAGAAAAGCTGCCAGAGTTCTGTAGGGTGACATGAAATCGCGAACTAGGGATGGATGCTTAAACAAAACAAACAAAAACGTAGGGGGCTGGGAGTGCAGATAACAAAAGAACCTCCTCCATCCCCCTCTCATATACCGAACAAGCCAGAGAGCTCACTTCCTTGCCTCAGTTTCCTGCACCCGCAGCTTTCGGGCACGGTAAACATTCAAAAGTCACTTTAAGAAGGTGAAGTTGAACATTACCAACTCGGAAGCGCTTAGCCCTATTCCGTGCACCCCAGGCTGGTTAGCCTTCGCGTGTAACATTCTTCCAGACGTGCCACCTGAGCAGTCAAACTCTTTCACCCCTGTAAAAACACCTTGTAAAAACCTGTATGTCGCGGCACACAAGGCCCATCACAAGCACTGCTGCACAGCTCACCGATAAGGCGAGGGCGAAGTCTGCGTGGGAAATCACGTTTACAATAAAGAGGGAAAGGGGGCGGGCGATCACGAGGAGCGGCGAGCGCCCTGGGCTCCAGCTCCGCGGCTGGCCGGGAAGGCCTCGCGCCAGCCCGGGTGCACACCCAGGGCGCCGGGCCCGCCTCCAGCTCCCGGGCAGCGGGAACCGCGAACCGCGCCGTGGACTGCAGGGGAGGGAGCGCCGCGCCCCCTGGCGGCGGGGCCCGTCTCCGTCCGCTCCCGGCCGCCGCCGCCGTAGCCGCCGGCCTGCCTTGCTCCATTTGCAGACTCCGGAGACAGCGTCCCTCCGAACGGCGGCTTCTCCGGCCTCCGGCTCCCCGCTCCGCATCACCCCTCCAGTCCCCGCCCCCTGCTCCTGCTCTGACACCCCCTTCTACACGCCGAGCCGTGCCGTGCCCCGCCGCAGCCCGGCCGAGCGCGAGCGCCGAGCCCACCGCGGGCTCCGCCAAGCCTTCCGGCGGCCCCGGCCGCTCCATCGCGGCGCCAGGCAGGGGTGCGGGGCCCGCGCAAGGCGCGAGTGGGGCGGACGGCGGCGGCGCGGACCGTTCCACTCCGCGTCCCCCCCCCGCCCCCGCGCGGCGCGCGTGCTCCCCGGAACGCCATGGAGCCGCCGCGTTCCGAGCGGGCACAAAGGGGCGCGCGGCACAATGGGCGCGGCGAGCCCGTGGGCGCCGGGCGCCCGCTCCGGCGACTCGGCCCTGCGCGGGGGTGGGCGCTCCTGCCGGCGGGCGCGCTCAGGGCAGCCCCCCTTCGCGTCCCCTCCCCTGCTCCCGCCCCCACCCCGGCATGGATGTTGCAGCCACTCGCCCGTCCGTCTGCCCCGGAGCCGCCACCGCGCGGCCGGCTTGATCCGCCCCGCACTTACCTGGGACGCGAGTTCTGTACTTTGCAGAGCGGGCCCGCGCCGAGTTTGGGCGCCACGTGGGGGGGGTGGGGGAGCGCGGGACCGGAGAGTGGGGGCCGCGCGCGGAGGGCCTGGCCGGGGCGGCCCGGGGAGTTGCTGGGGGCGGCGGGAGGGCGCCGTGTATTTTCCCCTCTCTTTGTGTGTGTCCGTGCGCTGCGCTCTCGCGTGACGTGACGGGACTCCGTGTGTCATTTCCGCACAAGGACACAGGAGCCCCCGCTGCAGTGGAACCACAACCCCTCCGCCCCCACCCCTGGCCCGCCCCTCCCCCTCAGCGGGGCACACGCGGGACCGGCGGCGGCGCTCGGGCGTGAACGGCCGCGGCGGGGAGCTGGGGCGCGCGCTCCGGGGACCCGGGCGGCCCTGCGCGCTCGTCCGGCGCCGCGCCGCTCCACGTGGGCCCGCGCCGGCGGCCCGCGGTGGGGGCGGCGGCTGCGAAACCCACGGCGCGCCCGGCCAGCGCTGCCTAACAATGTCCCCAGCACACCGTGTGTTCTCCCCCCGCGAGTCATTGCTCTAAAACGTGGTTGCTCAGACCCGAGGAGTTTGACCTGAAAAGCCTCTTTTTCGACTTTTTTTTTTTTTTCCCTCCGCGGGACGGCGACTCTGCGGGTCGGTCCTTCCCTCGCGCCCGCGTCTCTCCTGGGTTTTTGGCATCCCGAGCGTGGCCCCGGCCTTCGGGGCGGATGTTCCCGCGCCGCGGTCCGCACAAAGACCTCGGGGCGCCGGGACCCGGGTGGCCCCCGAGGCCCCGCGGGGCCGGCATGGAGTCTGGCGGGGCGCGGGAGAGCGACTCTGGCGCTGGGAAACGCTTGCTCTGGCCACTCCCCCAGCAGGGTGGCCGCCCTCTGTTGTAAGCCTGTGCTGAAAATCTGCCTTCTACTTGTAACCCGAAGTTTTGAGGTTTGAGGCTACAGAGCGAGAGATTTCAGAAGTGCGCGCGCTCGCAGACCCACATGCCACGGGATATCTGCGCCGGGCGCTTAAAATAGAAAAACACGAGTCACCAACTCAATAAAGGCGGATTCTTTCTACTCCTGACTCCCGGACTGTAGATTCCAATTGATTAATACGAAACCTATCCCTCGAGTATTAAGTCTCAGCGACTTTGAAGGGGTGTGGCGGGGGAGGGGGGAGCTCAGGGAAGCCCAATCCAACAGTTAAACCACGATTATATTTTAGGCAAAGGATGAGAATGTAGATTTTTTTTAATCCTTTAATTTGCCGGTCGGAGTAAATATAAAAAGAAAAATGCAAATGATCCCATCTGCTGCTCACAGCTGACTGGCTGCAAGAGAGGACCATGTGGCCCAGCCCTGCGCGGTCAGTGAATAGGTAGAATAGATTTTAAAAGAAGGCATATGCTGGCTCCTTGCTGCCCAGGCGCGGGGAGGGTTTGAATTAATGTATAGTTTTGGATTACCGTATCCTCCGGACCACTCCAGTTGGGAATTTAGTAATTATGCGAGTTCCTTCCCTTCGGATTTGAAATCTAAAGGCACACGGTTATCTAAGACCTTTGAGGAACTACGTGGAACATTCTGGAGCTGTATTTGGATAGCCCATTTTGAGAAGTCAGTACTAATTGCTATGCAAAATTAGCAAGCCTCCGGGAGAACCGAGCCCTGCATCCAGGGGGTGCTTTTATAAAAGAATCCATACGTGCTCAGTGTCATTCAAAACAGGATGATGAAAAGAATGGGGCCGAGATAGCAGCCCTTCAAATTCAAAAGACTTGAGACGCCCTATCTACATTTAAAATAGGGCGGAGGGAGGAAGGGAGGAGGACAGCTTGGGGCAGAATGGTTAATTTATACATTCCCAGAAGACCGAATGGAGGCACTTCGCTTTCTGCCGGGAACTTGACTTTTACACTCGCACATTAAATAACACGTATGATACACTACATCGCTTGACTCACATAAGAGATACAGCAGTTTTGGTCTCACCTTCAATTTAATGTGACAGTTATAATTAGAATTTAAAGAGTATAAATTGCATTTCATTAGTTCAGTTTTCTAGGATTTCCCAGTAGAAGAGTTAGGAAGAGTTAAGAGTAACATTTAAGCTCACTTTGCATTTTTAAACCACTTTACAGAAGTGGTTTAAAAATGTAAAATGACCTTGTTACATTTTTACCAAGGGGACTAGATGAAATATGTTGTGAAGATCTATATCTTAGCCAGCCCTTCACAGTGATAATCCAGGTATTTAAGGAGAAATTCAATAAAACCATAGAAATCAACATTTTTTGTTATATTTGAAACCAGAGATTTTGTCAAATACAACAATTTTATTAATGAATAGCATTTAAGACAAGCAGCACGCTTACCTGAAAGAGCTTTTTAAAACATCTCTTAGGAAATGACAAAGTGACCTTGAGTATTATTGTAAATCATGCATCTTAATTTGCATAACTGGATCAATCTACCTAACAAAGTAAGCTATTCATTCCAAATTACTAACAGAAATGGAAATCATGCTATCTAGGAAATTACCTACCTTCAAATGGTTTTATAGGTTCTTTGTGTTTTGTTTAATAAGGAGGAAAATAGTACATAAAGGTGAAAACAATGCCTGTGTTGGAATAGTTGTATCTCAAATGTTATTTTGGAGCCTTTAAAAAATAATAGGTAAATGTGAATTTACATGTGCATAAACATGGAGTAAGATGGGGAGAGGAATGGAGATAAAAAACACAATTCCTGCCTAACACAACCCTAAGAAGTCATGGTTCATAGGGATGTGTGTAAAGACCTGGGGGGGGGGGGGAAACTGTGAGTTTTAGATATCTCCTTGATTGGAAATTTCTTAATTAGAAATGTGTTTTTCAAGATTTCAGATTAAAGCTGCTGCAGTTGATCTAATGAACTCATTTCCAATTTTACCTGAGTGAAATGCAGCAGGGGAGAATTGACTAGTTGGCCATATAAAGGATTCACATAAAGCAGTAACTATAAAAACTCAAATGGAAAATTGCACAGCATTTAATGAAGAATGGGATATATATAGTGTAAATATATATAATTAAGAGTGGCAGACAGACATTAGGTTTCAGATATCTTTGAACTGTTATTCTAAAGGTTTATATCATCGCTAAAACATATTTATAGTTGCCAAGACAATATTTAGTAGGGCTTTTTTTTTTCTCAGTAGTTAAGTCTTAAAACAACGCAACAGATTTCACTGTTACTTGTGAGACATTTCCACTTTATTTCTTGCCTGCTGGATGTATAATTTTGCCAATTCTTCAACTTCAAACAGAAGTAGCTGACAGATCCAGATTCCATGAGTACTGACAACAGAAAAGAAGGAAAAAAAAGAAAGGAAGTAGGAACATGTATCAACTTTATTAAACAGAACTTATGGAAAGACACACCTTGAAAAGTAACTTGCAAAACTGGCTTTTGTTTGGGAAATCAACCTTGGGGAGTTAAGTTTTACCCCTTGTGTTCCAGAGGCGGGGGGGGGGGGGGGGAGGGATGCTGGGGTAGGCGAACTACCTTTAGTGGAATCCTGAACCAGTAAACGACCCAGTGTGGGGCTAACAAATACGTTTCGAATGAAAAAGCTGCAGAGAATTTGTGCTGGGCAGTTCTCCTTCTGTGTTTAAGAACTATTTAATAATTTATAACGGCTTGAGACTTTTAAGCACCCAACACAGCCATTAGTATCTGATTTGAGTTGAATATCTGGCTTGCACAATAGGATTCTGCAAAAAGAAATGTTAGGGAGAGCGAAAATTGCTGCGGTCCCCCTCTCAATTTCAAGCCCTTGAGAAAACAAATGCCAATCCTAACTGTGGCTCATTCTGAGCCCAGGGCTGGCTGGAGGCGTTGGCAGCCACCAGGGCCCCCACGCCCAGAGGGCTGCCCAAGGGCCTGCAGTCAAGGAGTCCCCACACTGATCACACAGATGAGGCGACAGGCAGGAAGCAAGGAGCAAGGAGAGGCTGGATTCCCAGCCAATCAGAACCCATTAAACAAAAAGAAAAAGGAGACTTACTACTCTAGTAACCAGCCAATTTTTAAGAAATTATTTTATGCTGTAGGTCAAAAGATTCTTTAAATGAAATGATACACACACACACACACTCTTTTGTTTTGTTTTATGTAACCTACCTAAAAAGTCTTTTCTGTACAATGAAACACCTCATAGAAATGAACTCGAGATCCAGTGAGTCTACGTCTAGGAATCCATCCCGGGGAAATACTCAACCAAAGCTACATTTACAAGGATGTTCATTGCAGGATCCTTCATGTTAGCAAAAAAAGAAAAAAAAAGGGAGAGAATTTGAAAAGTTGTTGAATGAATGACACACGCTATGGCATACCCCGTAGGCTTTAGTAAGAGGAAAAGTATTCTTTTTTTATCGGTACAGAGGAATGTCTTTGCACATTTATTGAGTAAAAAGAAAATTAGAGATCTATGTGAAAGAGGACTTCAGCCGCCTCCATTTTGACTGCATACTTTTCAGTTGGGTTCTTTGCGGTTTAGGCAGAAGACCCTGAGGGCAAATCATCTCCTGATGAGAACTGAAACACTCCCCTGAAGCCATAAGGGCGGCCCTGAGCCTATGAGACACCACCCACGATTGACTCCAGGGCAAGGATCAATTTGACCTTCACTTCCTGCCTGCACTGCCCTCATACCTTTACCCCACATTTTCCTTTTTTTTAAAAGATTTTTTTAAATGTTTATTTATTTTTGAGAGACAGAGAGCGTGAGCAGGGGAGGGGCAGAGAGAGAAGGAGACACAGAATCCGAAGCAGGCTCCAGGCTCTGACCCCGATGTGGGGCTCGAACCCACAAACTGAGATCATGACATGAGCTGAAGTTGAACGCTTAGCCGACTGAGCCACCCAGGTGCCCCTGCCCCACATTTTACTTATATAAACCTGGAAGTATTTTCAGCACGTTGAAGACGGTCTTTGGGATGATAGTCCGCAGTCTTCCTGGCGTTGACCTCACAGAAATAAATTCTTCGTGTTTACTACTAGTTTCTCTGCCTTTGGATTTTGTTAGGCGAGTGGCCTAACCTGGTCTGTTCGGGGTCCCTGGAGCCAGGTGCTCTTTTACCCCTGTGCCCTGGCTACATACATAATGTAATCCAATTTTTGTAAGAAAAAGAAAAACATGCATATATTTCAGTGTAAATAGAACAGATCTGGAAAACACAGGGCTTACAGTGGTTTCCCCTGAAGCAGAGGATGGTAGGGAGGAGAGGAATGTTTACTTTTTCACATGGTACCTTTGTGTAATGTTGGATTTTATTGT